TGTTGCCCTTTGGTCTTCCTGCGAGAGCTGCAATCAGCTGCGCAGCACGGTCATGGAACACTTTGGCATCAAGCCCACCGGTTGCGGCCGCGGCTGTTGCTGCTGTTGCTGCTGTACCGTTGCTGCTCATTTGCTACGATTGCGGTCAAAATCAAACACCTGAAGCTGGCTGGCTGTGTGTGTGTGTGTCTCGAGCTGGTTGTTTATTTTGTTGTTTGTATTGTATTCGGCTATTCGCGCAAGAGAAAGAGTTTTTTTTCAACCACGCGAGCCTCGCTGACGTGCGTTCCAATATCGCCGCAGCTCTCTGCCCAACTGCAACTTTTCAAACCTTTCATCTCTCGCTTTCTTTTTTGTTGTATCGTGTTCATCGAGTAGAGCCTACACATGTCGCAAGCGGACAGCGGTGATGCCCGAAGGCTGCCTCATAGTCCACAGAGTCCAACGTTTCGGCAGCTGACAGATTCGTCAGCACTCTTCCAGCCAACCTACCGTCGCTCTAGCTCGCCTTGGCGGTCGCCAGCAACTCAGAGACTTGGTGGTACTGACAAAGGGGCTCTCATGCCAGTGTCGCCCGTACTGCACAGCCGCCACCCACCTTCAGCGGCAGCAGCAGCAACGACAGCAGCTCAATCCGTTTCAGCTGCTTCTTCGCCCACGACTGCGCATCATCCAACTGCGCTGGAAACGACAGCACCAGCATCCGCACCGGCGTCTCCCGCACATCAAAGCACCGCTGCACCGCCAGATAGGGGCGACGATAGTGACATCGATGAAGATGAGATTGCAGCCATGATTCTGGAACACAATGCTGATCGCGATAGAAGCGGTGTCAAAGAATACAATGCTGCTGATGTTGAAGATGACAATTATGATGATGAACCATTTGATACACATTCGCTGGGCTCCCCATCGACTGAATACCACTCTATTATAGACGATGGTGCCAGTATATCAGCGTCTCGAGCATCGACCAATGACGGGAAAGAACCTCACTGGCGCAATTGGTGGGGCCAAGGTCATCAAATGCCAGCTGAACACGACATGTACAATCAGCCGTTCAGTGAACCTCTCTTTGGTCATGGTGATAGTGGTGATGGAGAGGGCCAAGGTCATCAAATGCCAGCTGAACACGACATGTACAATCAGCCGTTCAGTGAACCTCTCTTTGGTCATGGTGATGGTGGAGATGGAGATGATGATGGAGATGATGATGCCAGCTATAATAAACATGAGGATGAGGAGGAAGAGGAGGAAGAGGGTGGTGATATTTATGGATACAATGATGAAGATGGTGATGGTGATGATGAAGTTGATGGGAATCTGGTTAGAAATAAAATGGCCGGAAAGAAGCCAGCAGCCATTCGTTCGGATGCAACGGCAGCTGTTGAAATGACACAGTCTACAGAATGGCAGCAGCCTCAGTATCAAAATCAACTCACAAACAATCCAGATCAATACTATCGCAGCGTGCAAGGTGGTGATTTCATTAGAAGAGACTCTGCGTTTGCTGCAATCTACATTTTAAACATGATTGCATTTGTTATATCTGGAATTGTACTGTGTTTCACGACCGACTCTCACGTGTTTGGACCTGGCGTTGGAAGCACGCTGTATGCTGCTCTCAAAGACAGCATTGGACTGCTGTTTGCAATTGCATTGGCCACTATATTACTGGGTGTTGTATGGTTCAGTGTGTTGCGAAGATTTGTGCGTGAAATTCTATGGATTATGGTCATTGCTGTTCCTTTTGTTAGTCTGGCAACTTTCTCGTGGTCTCTCGGAAACACTCTCATGCCGCCGCCTGAGGCTGATAAAGACAAGGCATATAGACTGCGCCATTTGCTACTATGTGCTACATCTGCCATGATGGGTGCATGGCATTCACTCTATGCGTTCAGGCAGCGGCATGAAATCCAAGAGTCGATCGCTTCCGTGGCCATTGCCTGCAAAGTTCTTGGCTCAAACCCAGAACTCTTTGGATTGGCCTTTGCGCTGTTAGCTGGCTACGTTGCATTCATTGCCACGTGGCTCATCTTTGTGTCGCGTCTGCCGCTGCTTGGCTACTTTGTAATCCGGGATCCATCCCTGCCCAACATCCCGCCTGATGACCGCGAGTGGAAACTCAGCAGCAGCATGTATGCGCTAACAGTGTGGTATGTATGCACTTTCTTCTGGACGACGGGTGTATTCAGCAATGTATTACGTATGACTATTGCATTGGTAACGTCTCAATGGTATTTCTATCGACATGATCCTGCAAGCGCTCACTTGGCTGATGTGTATTATGTTCGCGCAGCATTTGTCAAGGCCACATCCACATTGTTTGGCTCTGTATGTGCCGGTGGCATCATCCTGTCTGCATGCCAAACCATCTCTTATGGCATCTACCTGTGGCGTCGAATTCTGCGTCAGCTGTTTCCCAAAGCTCGGCCGCTGCCAGTCGCCGCTACGATTGCCGTGTTGAGAGGTGTTGAGAAATGGCTCGAGTTATGGAATGACTATGCTATAATCTATGTTGCGCTCACTGGACATGGCTTCTTTTCATCTGCGTATTCGGCTGCTGCCATGCTGCGCCGCCATTCATTGCATCGTGCGCAGACCGTGTGGATTGTGCAGGTCATTCTCAACGCAATCTCCACCTGCATCGCCATGCTGCTTGGCTATGCCACATCAGTGTACTCGCAGACTGCCCTTGGCTCATCGTATCCTTACCTGAGTGGGCTGCTTGGATCACTTGTGCCGTATTTTGTACTGCAGTTCTTTGCACACATTTTGGTGAGCACAATCGAGTCTGTCATTGTCTGTTTGGCAATCGATCGTGAAACCAACACCGACCATCTCGGCACTGACCCTTCCGAGGTGGTTGGCACAAAATCATCAAAACGCTCTGCCTACCCTCGTCAAAATACTCACAATATTGTATAACATCGCCTTTTCATCACTTTTCATCACCTTTCCATCACTTTCGTTCATTCATTTTAAATATTATACTTTTAAAAAAGCAATACAAAGAAGAAGAAGAAGAAGAACAAACTGACTTAATCATCCTTACGTTGCTTAGCAAATTCCTTTAACTTGGCTTGCTGGTGCTCTTTCACAAACTGCGGCTTGGCATTATTGAGTCTCTGCTGTCTCAACTGTCTAATCTTTGCCTCGGCAATCGCCTCATCCCCCGTTGCTGGCATCGACAGTATCCAGAATATAGCAATAATAGTAAAGCAAAACAGCGGGATCGTAATCACCGGCGATATGCCTCCAAACACTTCGGTAAATATCGCTGCAGCCATTTGCACGTAGCCAACAAATCCACCTCCAAAGTCTTTTGCGTTGTACTGACGAATTAATCGCCACGATGGCGCGGTCATTGGAGAGACTTGCTTCCATTTATCAGTTTTGATAAACGACATTAGGGCAGCCGAAGAGCGCGCGTCTTTATACTCGCGAATAGTCCACTCCGGTCCAAACGGAATCCATAATTTGGACTTTTCATCATCTGCTTTCTCATTGTCATTGCCGCCACTAGTCTCGACTGCGGCAGTCTCTGCTGATGCTGATGAAAGAGAAACGTGATAAACTTGAGGAATTGACTTGATTTCAAACAAGCTTGTCAACGTTGGATTCTGAGCTACATCCACATACGACATCCCAATGTTATAATGCCGCAAATCAGATCTGGTCAATGCAAACTCTTCGTCAGCCTGAATGTGGGATATAAACTTGGCCCACTTAGGTTTAAACTTGCGACAATGACTGCATCCGGCACTGGCAAACATGAGCATCCATTGTGATTTGGTAGGCAGCAGTGCCTGATAGTTGGCGTCAGTCAGCTGCTGTGGGAAATAGAGGGCTTTGGAGTCGGGCTCGGAGGCGTCGGAATCAGCATCTGCACGTCCAAACGAGCTGAAGGTGCCAACCAGTAGCACCGCCAATAACAGAAGCAGCCTCGTAACCTGCATCCTTTGGTGCTAATCAAGTCGAAACGTGTTCAGTGATGATATTGTGCTGATGTGTTGTTGCTGTAACAGATTTGTCACAGAAAAGCGAAGTCAAAAAAAGCAACACTTAAAAAAAAAAAGAGAACACACAAAAGACATGGGCAAGATCGAAGAGATTGACGACGTTAACGAGAAGCTGTTTGCTTCAATTGATGGCGAGGGCAGTGACGATCAGTACAGCGACTACACCGGCTCCGCTCGTTCTTCTGCCGATCTGGACGAAAACGACGACGAAGACTTCACTGATCTTTCCGACGCCGACGACGATGTTGACAGCGATAACGAGTCCGTGTACAGCGTTGCCGATGAATCCCTCCTGGACCGTCTCAGTGCCTTGAAGGACATCATCCCACCGGGCGTCCGTAGCGGTGTTTCCGATTTTACCGAGCAGGTTGTTGATAACCTGTGGTCAATTGGAAAAATCGTGGGTGCTGCTGGCTGGATTGTGTCGACAAGTGCAATCATGGTTGCATTGCCAATGGTGCTCGAAATGCAGAAGGACATGGAGATTGAGGAGATTGAAAAGCAGCAACGACAGCAAATGGCAGCTCAGGCGGGCTTGCCAGGCGCACCGGGCGTGATGGCGCCACAGGGCGGCGGCGGAGTGCCAAGTCTATATCCGCAGGGAGCGGTTCCACTGGCGGCGTCGCCAACTGCGCAGGCCATCTCGCAGCAAAGCAACCGCCCGCCGGGTTTCTAGGAAACAGACACTCACTTCTAGTAGGCTATTTGTTTTTTCCCTGATTTTTAACACTATACACATCCCGATTCAATTGAGTGTGCATGTATGTGCCGGCAGCAGGCAGACTGGCATATCGGCAGCTTGGGGGAAGGGACAGGTAGCGTGAGGATGAGCTGGGGGTGGAGATGAAGAGGTGATGAGGCACAGGTGAGACACGAAACTGAGGCACCGGTGGGACACAGATGTGCATGTGACGTGCGATGCGACGTGCGATGTGGTGGGCGATGCGACCTGCGATACCGATATTCGCAAATCATCAAGCGTCGTTAGTTCAGAGGTAAAACAACTGCCTTCCAAGCAGTAGTCCCGGGTTCGATTCCCGGACGACGCAGCTTCTGTTTTGTGTTCTTTTCTCAAAGAATTGAATAGAGGGATTAAAAGTACTAAAATGCAAGGCTGTTCTTCTTTTTTTTTTTAGTGAGAGTTTGGCATAGAACTCTGCAAATATTGTGGTTCTTGGTGCTGTGGTTGCTGCTCAGTACGGTAGTTCTGGTACTTTGCCCAGTTATTGGCTTGACCGTTCGAAGTTGCTGCTGCTTGTTGATCGTTCCAGGCATATCTCTCATACGGTGGGCAGTTCTCCACTCGCCGTCCGATATCATCTTGCCCGTTCATCACCACTACGCTTTCGAGCTGTGCATTATTTGCTGTGTTTATCACGTACCCACCTTCGCCGCTTGGTCCATTGCTCTGGTACAGAGCCTTGATTCCTCGATACAGGATGACACCACCAATGATTGCAATCAGTAAACCTGCACCACCAAACAGGATTGGGACAAAAACGGGTGTATTGAAGCCTTGGCGATTTGAGAGAGCAATTGCGATGCCAGCAAAGCAAATGCCAAAGACAATCATGAATGGACCCGTAAAGAGGGCCGTGCGTGCTTGAGTTATTCTTGTAGACACTGGCATACTTGTGAGCTTTGCGTGAAGAAGAGAGGGGAGAGAGCAGATAACGGAGAGAAGCAGTAGGCAAAAAAAGAGAGAGCGGGTGTGTGTGGGAGAGCGGGAGAGCGGGAGAGCGAGAGAGGGAGGGAAGTAAAGCTACAATGTGATGAAATGAGAATGATGTACAGGAACTTGTTTGTGCAAAACCTACTCACACTGTCAAATATATGGTTTGTGTCGTGCGTATGGATTTTTGTCGTGGCTTAACCCAAACACTCGGTATGGCTGATGACTTGCTTTCTTTTTGGTTGGTCTCTTTTACAGTGCAAAAGAACCCAAAGAACACCGAGCGACTGCCCTATCACCAGTGTTGGCTTGACTGCCCTTTATGTATATCGAGAGGAATTCCAAGTGGAGGTTGGCTGAACTTGCGTCAAAAAGAGCCAACTCAACAGGAGAGAAAAGGAGTTGTGTGTGCGTAATTGTGTGTAGGCGGGTATGTGAGTGTGTTAGTGTGTACGACATTGTGATTGTAGTGGCATCCGTTATGTTCTTTGTTTCTTTTTTTCCTGTTTAATACTGTGTATGTGCCAAGCCAGAATTCCGATTGGACCATTAACTACAGAGAGAGGGAGGGAGGAAGAGAGGGAGGGAGGAAGAGAGGGAGGAAGAGAGTGACAAAGCACTGTTGTTTGAGTTGTGCTCTGATTGGCTAGATGCATTTTGACTTGGCAGGTTGCATTGTCATGTGACTGTGCATTGCATGTTTTTTTTGTTGATGCAGGTCACCTGGTTCAGGTTGGAATAGTGATTGGTCAGTCACTAATTCGTATTTCATGGACTGTCAGTTGTATCCAGGAGTGATGAGTGAGAGAGATAGAGATGGAGAATTGTAAACGGAGGTCGACTGTTGACTGAAACATTTTTTGTTTTCAACAAGAACAGCCTCATCTCGATCTCGACTCCCACCTCCTACTCCACTCAAACAACACACTCGTCGACCGATAAACCTCCTCTTCTTCCTCTTCTTCCTTTTTGATTAACTTTTTTTTCTCCACTGGGGGACCATGGTAGACGTGGAGTTGGAGTTGGAGTCTAATACATATCGGTGGAGACGAAGAAGGAGAAGGAGAAGAAGAAAGCGACGACGCAAGTGCAGGTTGGAACCTTCGACTCGACTATCCTCTCGATACATGCAGTCAACGCTGATCAGTATCAACAGTGAGAATGACATCAACATGAGGAGAAGGAGGAGAAGGAGGAGACTGTCAATGATGATACAGCTCTACTTCTACTTCTCCTCCTATTCTTCTTCCTCCTCTTCCATGGTATCGATGCGTTTGCAATGTCTTTTCATGAGTTGTTTGTTTTACTTGCTGCTGTGCTCATCTGTGTCAGCTAATCTCGTTCTATGGAACGTTGCCAACCCAACTCCATTACCAAACTCAACAGACGGTCCAAGCTCATTCAGCAACAGCGTTAGCGGAAGTGCCGGTTTCCCGATTGACTTTGGCGGCGGACTTCTCGCATATGAGTTTGCCGGATACACTGCAAAGAAGAACTTTCATGCAGTGTCAGGTCCAATTCTCCAGCTTCCTGACATTGGACCGGACTGCACATTCACGCCTCCATCAACCACGTCCTCATTTGTTTTCCAACCGGCTCTACCGAGTAATGTGACTGGATCGATTGTGCTGGTGGATATGGGTGCCGCACGCAATATTGGATGTGTGTCAATGTCATTCGTGCTCCAGCTGATGCCTGCCATGTCAGATGAACTTCACAGACGATATGCGGATTTGCCACCGATCAGAGCCATTGTGTTTGCGAATCCAATTGATAGCTCGACGACTTTTGGCAATCCAATGACTACATTTTACGACAACTATTGGAACTATCTGCCCGCCAATGTTACTCCGTTTTTGACATCTGGTCAATCATACACATGGATGACTACCCAAATGGACAGCTTGCAGCATCGCTCCAACAACAGCACTGCGGCTGTGAACAGAACAATGTACACCCCACTGCTAGGCGCAATCAACCATGACATTGGTGTGTGGAACCGACTAATCGGCGATTCTATATCGGATCGCATCCAAATGGCTCGTCAAATTGTCTGCACTCTAGTTGGACTCTACATTCTCACCAACATATTCCTCGCAGTATTTATCCACAAATCCATGCGTTCTTGGTCTCATTTATCCATCTTGGCGTTTGAACTCATTCCTTGTTTGGCAATTGGTTTGACCATCCAGTACTTTGCATATTCGAATATAGTCCAGTTTCTAATGTTTGTTGGCCAGGGAATGAACAAAATCTCACTGGGACTGCTGATTGTCAGATGGACATTCTACGTGGCTGCCGAGCGTGGCGTGAAGATCTTGGTGGCCGTCAGATTATTCATGTACATAATAATGGCATCCTCCATATTGTTCAGAATTGGCTATGATATACTGCTATACTTGTGCCACGTGGCTATCAATCCAACAATACTGTTCATGCTGATGCCAACGATGGATTTCGGAGGAGGTGTTCTGGCGTTTATAGCAATGGTGATTTATGCGAGAGCAATGGGTAAGGCAATGTGGTATGCTGAGCAAAGAAAGATCACATACTTGTGCATGTTGAGCTTGGCAACCAGTATCTATGATATACTGTGTTATTATGTACTGTCATCACCACGTTCGCAAAATATACCAAGAACACTGGCGTATGTGCTACTGCAGACTATTGGGATGCCACTGTCAGGTGCACTCAAAGTGTGGGCCAGTATAATGATGCAATCTGCAATTAGTACAACACGGCCGGGATTTAGCACAGGTGTAGTACGAAGAAGAGAGCGAGGTGGTCAAGAGGACGGAACTGGACCAACCAACAGTCACGTCAGTAGAAGAGACAGAGATGAATGCAGCGGAGACTACGGAGATGCATCTGGTACATTTGGCAGCGCAACTAGATCAGACGGTGGAGAGAGAAGACAGAACCGAAGGAACAGACGAGATCAGCAGCAGAGTCAACCGCGTCAACCGCGTCAACAACGTCAACAGCGTCAACGTCAAATGGATGAGATCCCAGGCGATATTGATGCCACTCAATTGGAAAGAGTTCGACATAGTGGCGATGACTTTACACTTCAACTTCCACTTCAGCCACTTCAGTTTTCACTCGCTACACTGCCATATTCGCTGCATCCATCAGCAGGTATTACTGGCAGCTATGCGCTTGATGTGCCGACTCATCCCTTGCCAACGCCTTCAGCTTCCTCAACGCCATATTATGGTCCATCCAGAGTGTCTCCGCGCACTTCTGCACCAGTCACGACTGCACCAGCAACAACCACACTAACCACACCAGCATCACCAAATCCACCGCGCTCAACCACAGAATCAACAGCATCTCTTCCCGCCAAACCGTGGTGGAATCGCATTCTTAAACGACGACCCTCCATTTCTACTGTGAAATCCCCTTTGCCATCAGCAACAGATCGGCTTCGCCATTCAGCAGGTGAATACAATCAATTCGTCAATGCAGCTTCCTTCGGCTCTTCAGCAACTCCCATTGCCTCTGTTACAGCTTCGATACCATTACCGTTAATGCCACGATCTGTTCGCACCAGTTCATCTGGCGAAAGAGTAAACGATGTTAATCTGGCGGCAAGAAATGGACTCGGCTTAGTTCAATTTGAAGGTGACACTGGAGTTCGAGGAACAGAGCTACCGTCGATATCGGCGTATGTGGCTCAGCACCAGCAGCAGTTACAGCAACAGCAACAACAGCAGCAATTACAGCAAGCACAGCAGCAGCAACAGCAGCAACAGCAGATGGTTACTCCGTCACACCGTCAACAGCCTGCACTGTATCCACATCGACATGTAGCAGCTGTTAGTGCACTGGATGACATACCTCGATTTGGCACGCCATTTATGCCATCGCCTTCACTCGCCGCGACTCCTCACCAGGCGACGGGTATCCCATTAGGTTACACTCACGGCCATCAGCATCGCTCGCTTTCCACAGTTCCTCTTCACCCGATTTATCAAGTCCCCACTGCAACAGTGTCGGCAAGAACCTCTTTGCAGCAACCCTCCCAGACACAGCAGCCACCACCACCACCATCAAGTAATACGAGGATTATCCCATAGACTTAATATTATGTTTGATAGATATTCTCTGCTTTATTTTTGCTCGTTTTATTTATTTACTGTTTGAATAGACGTAGATAGTGCATGTGATGATAAGAATGGAAGATACCGTTGTATGTGTGTGTGTGTGTGTGTGTGGATGGCACGGCATTGGATGCCCTCAGTCTTAAAAAAAAAAAAAACAGAAAGGATACTCTCGGCAATGGCACAGACTGGAGAGTAAAGTCGATGCCGCTGACTTCATTGTGCGCAATGCGGCGACACACTGACCTCAACCGTTATTCCTGGTCTCCCCCAC